CAAAGACTGCATCTCACCATTTTTCGTCATTTTTGATTTGAGGATTTATTTTAGCTTTATAATAGATCTTCGAGCTTATTTTATTCATTGATTTGAGAGAGAGACAGAGATAGTGAGAGAGCACAGGAGCGGGGAGGAGAGGGAGAAGCAGACTCCCTGCTGAGCAGGGAGCCCGAAGCGGGGCTCGATCCCAGGACCCCGGGATCATGACCTGAGCCGAAGGCAGATGCTTAACTGACTGAGACACCCAGGCGTCCCTCTATGTTTTTTAATTGTGGCAAAAAGCAGCACATACCATTAAAATTTACCATCTGAACCATTTATTTAATTTTTTAAGATTTTATTTATTTGAGAGAGAGAGAGAGACAGCGAGGGAGGCAACACAAGCAGAGGGAGAAGCAGGCTTCCCGCTGAGCAGAGCGCCCGATGTGGGGCTCGATCCCAGGACCCTGGGATCATGACCTGAACCATTTTAAAGTGTACAGCTTGGCCAGCTCTCTTTTAAAAGAGAAACTCCTATGTGCACGACACCTAGGATAAACATTCAGGACTGCTGAGGCCTGCCCCTGTAAAATGTCATGAGCAATTCTCAAGTCCAGAAAAGACTTGACATAGAATGAATGTCAGCAGTTACTGTTTCAGTCCCAGGGCCTGGACCTCAGAGCTTACATACAGAGACACACAACCCCGGTCCCACACTCACTCACAAACCTGCTCTGCTATGGGATTTTTGACACGTAAGAGGCTATCCCAGATAGTTAACTGCCTCAAATAAACACTTTTTTAAAATATTACTCTCACGCTGTAGTGATTAGTGTTCCAGCAATTTAACCCCATCAATGGGATTCTTTTAAAATGGCAACTTTTCTTGTGTTCATAAAAGGATGAGAGAGGTGAGGGGGGATGGAGGCCTAGAAAACCTTGCAATCGTCACAAGTCCCCCAGACAGACACATATTTTGGTGGGGTTTTGTTGTTTTGTTTTTGCTGCACTGACCCCCCTGCACGTCACTCGTACTAGGAACACACACCCTCCCTGCCCCAGTGGCCTATGCCACAAATCTCCCATCACTCTTCTGGAATACCCCATCCCTGACCCCTACCCCTCCGCCACTCATACCTGCAAACCCACCTCTGCCCTTCCCTGAGGCTTTCACTGCCTCCACTGACAGTCTTGTGAGGTTAACTTCTTCCCTAAAGCTCCTTTAGGGTTACTGGGACTTTCAACGCAAGGGGAGGCACTACTCAACTTTTTTAAGAGCAGATTTTTAAGGAAAATTAACATTAAAACCACTCTGCAGCATACACCTGAAACTAATGTAACACAGTGTATCAACTATACTTCAATTTAAAAAAAAAATTACCCTGCAGCAGTAAGCAAAACCCCTCGTACCTGGCTACAACCTGAATCTCTAAAGTCTTCACAGGAGCCTGAAGTTTTATACCAATTTTCACAGAATAAGAACACCAGATTTCGCCAATTCAAAGACACTTTAAAAATGTTTAACATCTCTGAAATTGGGATGTCTCATAATCTGTCCGCCCAGATGGCAGTCATGACAGAGTTGTCATTGTCTGATAGGGAAGAACCCACATTATTAGATTTACCCCTAGGTATCTGACTTGGGAGGATGCGATCATAAAAGGTAGCTTTTAAATTTTAATTTTCCAGTTTCTTCCTGTTAGTATATAGAAATACAACAGATCATGCTAAAGTCACTTATGTTTGTGTTTCCTCAACTTTGCTGAAATGCCTATGAAATATGTGCCTATGGAAAAAATTACTAAACAATGCTTTTTGTCCTCGGGTTTTCTCTCGTGTCTGAAGAAAATTGGTTACACTGGTTAAGATAACAATATACATAACAGGTCGATTATACTAGATACAATAATCAGAGAGAAATAGAAATATGGATATAAATGAGGAAGTAGGATTTCCCATTTTTTTTCTGTTTATTAAAAGCTTTGTTAGCCTATTCAGATGGTAAATGTAATACTATGTCGTTCTAAGTTTATTATTTATATATCCGTATAAGCCTAAATAGATGTACATAGAGGCATATAAATGAATCCTTTACTATAAATTGTTACATCAATAATGTACCAAAGGAGGAAAATTAGAATTCGGGCCTTTTCTGTCAAATGTCATTATTTTATGCCCAGATTATAAGTTCCTTTTTTATCACCAAATTATTAACTCTTGGTGTTTTCTGACATCAAAAAAGTTAAGCTTCTAATCATCTTTGTTATTTATCACTGCGTTTTTACAAAGTTGACTATAAGTATTTTTTTGTCCTTACTTCAATTTATATCTTTTTTTCCTAACAACTATTCTTGATTTGTCTTTCCCCAATTCTGAATAATAATACTGTTCAAATGTTCTTTTATGGCTAAACTATGTCTGGGAGATAACACAAAGATTTACTCCATTGCCCCATAAAAGGAATGGCAACAGGCATAATTAGGTTTATTCAAAAGTCTCCAAATTTCAATGAATTTAAAATTTTTATAAAAGCTCTTTCATTTTCCAAACTTAACATTTTCTTTAAATTTTATTAAGTTTTTAATTCTAGTACAGTTAACACAGAGTTAGTTTCAGGTGTACAATATAGTGACTCAACAATTCTATACATTACTCAGTGGTCGTGATAAGTGTACTCTTTCACAAACTCGGTATTTTTGGGGCACCTGCGTGGCTCAGTCGTTAAGCGTCTGCCTTCGGCTCAGGTCATGATCCCAGGATGCTGGGATCGAGCCCCGCATCAGGCTCCCTGCTCCGCGGGGAGCCTGCTTCTCCCTCTCCCGCTGCCCCTGCTTGTGTTCCTGCTCTCTCTCTGTGTGTCAAATAAATAAATAAAATCTTAAAAAAAAAATCGGTATTTTTTAAAGATGACAAATCAAAAAGGAAGTTTATCTTCCTAGCTTAATTACATTAATCAGAATTAGAATTGCAAATATCTTTCAATAATTGCATATTTTTCAAGCTAAAAAGCATATTCATGTTCAAGCAACAAAGAATGGTGCAGTTACTATCTACCAAAAGATTCCCCAGTCCAGGACCCTAAACTCACCAACTCTCTTCCCCGTGGTTCATGAAAAGTCTGAACAAGCACTAGGGGGACCGACTCAATGACAAGGGAATTGCCAGAGGCCTATTGTTTATTTCAGTCTTTCTTGAGATCCAGAAGTCAAGGCATATCCACCCTGTTTAAGAGCTATAGCAGCAATCATCAAGCAAACGTGAAAATTGTTGATTTGGTTCTAACGTCTTTACCCTCAATGGTCCCCTGTGCTGTGCAGGCTTCTCCACTGACAGAAAACCCTCAACACTCCTAGGCTAGTCCTTAACCTCGAATGGAACACGGTCACTTTCCCTTCACACATCTCCATCCACTCTGCAATACTGAACCCAGCCACACTCCTTCCTTTACCTGAACAAAGAACCCCTTGCCTGCTTACCTTCTAGGAAACTACCCGCACCCTGCACAAACCTTCTAGAGACTCCCTCCACTCTCCCTGATTTAATTATGTTTGTAGGTGGTTCACCCTTAAAAAGAAAAACTGGAATTTGCCAAGAAAGCTTTATTATCATAGATTTGAATTTACTCTTAAAATAGAAACTTCTAGAAATTAAATCAGTTCAGAAGGCCAAATTACTTGCCCTTGCCCAGATCTGCCAGCTGACAAAAAGAAGGTGCAAAATATTAATACTGATATTATATGATTTGGGGATTTAGTCCATGACTTCGAAATGCTTTGTAAACACAAATTTCCTGACCACTGCAGCAAACCTCTATAAAATGAAAAGCAAATTAAAGAACCTTGAGATGCTTTGCTCTCACCTAAGTAGATCAGCATTTAAAAAATGGAGGTAAGGTAAAACGCTTCACATCAGCCACAACTGCAGAGATGAACTGGCTTCAATACTGAACCAACATTGGTGGGGTAATTTTTTTTTATTGACAGAACATAATTTTTAAAAATTCACATAAAATTAACCATTTTCAAGTGAACAGTTCGGTGGCATTTAGTACATTCACAATATTGTGCAACCACGACCTCTATCTAGTTCCAAAACATTTTCAACACCCCAAAAGGAAACCCATACCCGTGAGGTAATTTTAAAGGGTACTGTCACCAGGACGCTGTAAAGGGAGGATGCGGCAGGAACAGAAGCCCCCAACCCTGTCTGAACACATCCAAATGAACTATAAAAAACGTTCCAGTTACTGTTGTTTATTCTCAGGATGGAATGAAGCTTTTCCTTGCTGGAGAGCTACAGCGCAACAGTTAAAAAAAAAAAAGGTTTCTTACTCCCTATTGGGGGAATCTCAACTTGTCTCTGTACTCTCCAGTAACAGGGATACATGTATCTCACTAGCACAGTGATTAGAAACTCTGTAAAATGAGCAAACCTCACTCAGAAAAGCCCTCAGGTGAGAGCATGCCCGCGGTGTGAGAGAAACAGTAACAGTCCAATATGGCCGGATGGAGAGTTTGGGGGGTAGGGGGGGCGGTGGTAATCAAAGGCGAGATCAGAGAAGCAATCAGCCAGGGACCAGCCTCGCTAGTCATTGTAAGAATGTTACCATTTACACTGCACGAGATGGGAAGCTGTTAAAACGTTTTGAGGAATGTTTTTAAAAGAATTACTGTGTACGGAAAGAGAAAAATAGTATCTTTACAGTGGAGAAACAGGGCAGATACCACCTTCACCAAATGATCAAGGCTAACGTCACCAATGACGTCATGTGGATACCATGTACCACCTGATATGATGCGAAGGGCACACCGCAGGCATCTAGTATGGTTTCACATATATCCTCCATAAAATGAAAGCTTAGACCACAAATACTACTTAGGGATGCGTACAGAAGTGGGAAAAGCGTTAACAAATTGAAAAATTCAGGGTAATAGTGGCGCAGGGAGAGGGATTTTCATCCGAGGGGCACAGGATTTCTTAAGCTAACAGTCTGATTCTTAACCTGAATGGTGAAATTCACAAATTTTTGTTTTATTATTCTTTAATTTTTTTTACTCTGAAATAAACTCAGAAAAATTGCAAAAATAATATAAAGAATTCCCGTATACCCTTCATCCAGATTCCCCAAATTTTTAACATTTTTGCCATTCGCCCGATCATTGTTTCTTTAAATACATCTTTATATACGCTATTTTTTCCAACCATTTGCGAGTAAGCGGCTTACACGATGGTTCTTTATCCGTAAAAATTTCGGTATGTATTCCCTTAAAAAAAAAGATACTCTCTTTCATAACCACAATACAATTATCCAAAGCAAGAAATTATCACTACTAATATCTAATCTACAAGTCTCAGTCAAATTTCACCAATTTTCCCATTAACATCTTTTACAGTAAAAAAGCGAAAATTAATTTTATGAGAAAAACCCCTGATTTTTTAAAAAATAATTTATTTTTTTTTCTGCTCCAGGATCCAATTCAGGATCACACATTGCATTTAGTTATCGTGACTCTTTAAATCCCATTAATTCCTTCAATCTGGAACAGTTCTTCATCCTTTGTCTTTCACGACCTTGAGATTTTTGAAGAGCACAGGCCGTTTATTTTTTACAGAATGTCCATCAATCTGGGCTACGTAAACGTTTTATGCAATCTTTTTAGGTCTTACGTATATCACAATTTAAACAATGAGATGCAACTCGGCGAGAAACAAAATAAACCCAGAAACAGTACATTTCAAGCACTGGTTAGCCAAAATCAGTAAAACAAGCTGATTTATCAAGATACGCATTGACATTTTTTTAAATAGCTATTTCTCCTGATTACAAAAACAAAACAGTACTAAAACAGAAAGCAAATGTAACATCGAAGGCCCCTCCCGTGCCAATCACCTGCACTTTCTCCCGTCCCGGGAAGAAGGCCTCGGCCAGAGGCAAAAACCTCGCCGCGTCACAAACTTTGCTCATTCGCAGGCGCCATTTTCTGCTTCACAGGCGCCACCTCCCCTCTGCAGTCTTTCCCCGGCCTCAGGACACGCCCCTCGGCCCACGTCACAAGCCTCGTTCCCAGGCGCCAGCTCCCTCTACCACGCAGGCTCCGAGTCCCTCCCTCCCGCCCACAGCCCTACGGCTCGGATTCCGCTCTTCTGCCTGACGTCATCCGCCTTGCCTAACTCTCAGGCTCCAGGCAACCGCAGGCCGCCCCTGCCGCCAAATGCTACTTAACGCCACGTAGACCACGCCCCTCGGCCTCGGCCGCCGAGACCGCCCTTTCCCAGGTTCCGAGTGCCATCACGCAGGCCCGGCCCCACCCACACGGCCGTTTCTTCTCAGGCCCCGCCCTCCCGCCGCTCCACAACAAACCCTCTCCTGTTCTCAGGCCTCGGGCGCCACCATACAGGCCCCGCCTCTTTCCCCAGACAAGGCGATCCACTCGCAGGCACTTCCCCGCCCCGCCCCTCCTGTCCTCAGTCCCACAAGCCACTCCCCCGCCCCCACGGCAGTTCCTCGGACCTCGGCCGTCACGTTCCCCCCACCGTCGCAAACGCCCCCACTTGTCCCCTCAGCCGAGGCTCTGCTCGCCGCCCTGCCTCACCAGCTTTCGCCGGCCCGCAGTGGACGCTCTCGCCCACTCTCGCCGTTCTCGATCTGGCGCCGCTGGCTCTCAAGGCCCGGCACGTTTTCGCGCTGCGGCTCTCGGTCCTCGGCCGCAGCCGCCACATTCGCTGCGACCGCCGCCATCACCGTTCGCCCTCTTCTCACAGCTACCGCAGCTGGAGATAGGAAGAGGCCCCTCAACGGCCACTTCCGGATTCTGGTCCCGGAAACGGAAACAGAGCCCCCCAAACAGCCAGGGGGCTCCTGCCATCTTGGAAAGGGACCCCACACTCGGACGCGCGGAGGGGCTAGGCGGGCATCGGACTCTGGGCGGGGATCTCGGTGGCCAATGGGCGGGGTAAAACCTCCAGATGGGAAGAAAGACAAAGGTGCTTTGTAGGATTTTAACGCCATGTTGAGTCTGGGCAAAAAGTTGTGTGGAACGGTGGAGGCGGAGGTCCCCGATATGGACGAGAACATTTTGGGGAATGCTCAGGGACACAAAGGTTCCGGGCTTTCTCGGTCCCGTGCTCTGCTGGGGAACCGCGGCCCCTGCCCTGGGAGTTTTTGTTAGCCTGACCAGAATGCCCTACCTTCATTGCACTGCTCTTCTCTCGTCCATCAAAACCTGGTACAAAAAAGGTCACCACCCAGGCCTGCGGGCCGCTTCCCTGCCTGAACTAGATTTATTTTCTTGGCAAACGTGTTGAAGGCAAGTCAGCCTCAGGCCCAGTGTATTTGTTGGCGTTATAGCAATGATAACTAATAATTGGCCCTGTTTAAGTGCTTTATTGCATGTAAAGAGTAGCCTTAGGCAGTAGATAAATATCCTGGTCACCTATGGACTTCAGTGGGGCAAGCTGAGGACCAGAAACGTTAATTCATTTTGTTTGGGCTGGTAAATGGCTGAGCTGTGGTTCGAACTCAAGAGCTGTGACCTTAAGCACCAGGCCATAGATTCTCCGTCTGTGGTTCGAGTCTTCCTACTACTAGTTCAGACCTTCTCAGGAGCGTTCACAAAGTCAAAACTATTTTCACAATACTTTTTCATTGTCATTCTCTCTTGCGTGTGTGTGGAATGTTCCGAGGCTACGTAAGCAAAAGCTCTTTGGACGTCCTCAATTTTTAAGACTATATGGGGACTGTGACCAAAAAGTTTGGAACCATTGCACCAGGCCAGGGGTTCTCAACCTAGGCGCTACCGACATTTGTTATGGGAAGCATTGTAGCATATTTAGCTGCATCCCTGCCCTTTACCCACTGAATAGCAAGTTATCATGCCCTAATTGTCTCATTCCCAAAAGTGTCTCTAGACATTGCCAGTGTTCACTGGGCGGGGGGTGGGGGGGTGGAGATCACTGGTTGAGAACCACTGGACTAGGCTCTGCCATCCTTATCTTCTGGGGCTTGCAGCCCTACCTCTTGTTGATAACTTGAGCATTTCAGTCTCTGGCTCCCTGTATCTACCTGCCTGTTGGCTGCCCCCTAAGACAGGCTGGTGATTGTGGCTCTGGTTCAGTGACTTCCTTACCACCCATCCCCACAAGCAAGACCACAGCTTGCCTTCCCACACCTCTAGGCTGGTGCACACAGCTCCCTGGGCCTGAAGTGTCCAGAATACCCTCTTCCTGCACATTTTCAAACCCCACCCATCCACCGGACATCATAATTTACCTCTCTATTCAGTTAACCTCTGTAGAGCAGGGATTGTGTCTTTATTGCTGTGATTCCAGCCCCTAGCCCAGACCCAGCAGTGCTGAGGGGTTAAACTCGGTTGTGTAAACCCTGAGGGAGAAGAGAACAGCCCATTCACCCCAGGGTCTCTATAATGGCACCGAGTTGGGTCTGGCACATGGCGAGTAGCTGCTCTTCAAGCCCAGCTGAATGTTGTCAGATTCTCGGAATTGCCTCTCCTCACTGCCCCTCCGCAGACTCCCCCTCCCCATTCACTGGGTAGCCTGTCCTTCCTACAATTCAACAAGAGGCCTCCCCTCCCAGGCCTAGACTGTTTGGTTTCCTCACCTTCCAAAGGCCTACCACTTCCCAGAGCAGTTGTGTGAATTCTAGTCCTTTGAAGTCTGGCCTAGCAATCCTGCCTCCCTTTGCAAGGTCCTCATTTTCCCAGCCTCCCTTGCTGCCAGAGGTGGCCATATCATCTTACTCTAGCCACGGAATGGCCCTGGAGGTCTGTTGAGCTTGTGGAAGGTTCAGCCCTGTTACAAGGAAGTAAGACAGGAAGGATGTCCTGTTTGTTGCTTGCTTCCCCATCTCTGGGAACATGGCAGCCACCATGCAACCGTAAGGCTGCAGGCTGAGATATCACCAAATGCTTACCACAGTGGAATGGTTAGAGGTCCTTGGGCCACCACCATTGGACTTTAGTAACCAGCCTTAGTTAGGCTTATTACCTGCAGTAGCCATTGCATCCTTCCTCGGGGTTATCTCACCCATGCCCAGGGTTTCTGTTACTTTCTGGACACCAATAATCCAAACTTCTAGTTCCATCCATCGATGGCCCCACTCCTGAATTTGACCCATTTAAGGATTCCCCCACCTCTCAGTGGTCCAAAATTTAGCCTCTCTCATACTCCCTCTCCAACTGGCCTGCCTCATGGTGTCCAGTTCTGACATGTGGTCAAACTGGACCTCTCCTCCCTACCTCGTTTTATTGGGCCTTCCCAAGTGTCTTGCAAACAGCCCCTCTATGAACACCAGGCCCCACCACTATCTGGCTTCCTCATCCTCTTGGGTGAATCTCTTCTCTCTGCTTGATTCTTAATTCATCCTCTATTCAGCCTGCCCTACCTGCTTCAACTCAATGTTCCACTGTTGCGTGTGCAACCCCTCAGATGCCTTTCATAGTCGTGCCATGTCCCTGGCCCAGCTCAGTGCTCTCCTAGATGATGGGGGCCAGTTATGAATTCTCCAAGGTCCCAGGACTCACCTTGGATTGAGCCCACCCCCACCCCTGCAGGGACTTGCAATCAGGTTTTTCACTTTAGACTTTTTAATATTTCATACAGCGATTATGGTGCATTCAGGAACCCAACCCCCCAAACCCCACTAGGAGGGCCCCCACCCCAGCCCTCCCACCCCATTTGAGGGCCCCAGGTTTAGAGTGGAGGACGGGGAGGTAACCACCCATCTGGGACTGACCCCAGAGACTGTCCCTGCCCTGCCTCACCCTCCCCAGGGGTTCAGGGATAACAGCTGGGCACAGACCCCCATGCATCCCTCTGCCCCTGCTTGTGCACATATACACACTATGGCTCCTTGAAGAGTTGGTCAGTTCCTGGCAGGGCCCTACGCAACAGCACCGAGTGGGACAGGGGCAGGAGGGTTGGGCTAAGGAGACCCTGAGAAGGAAGGAGGCCCCAGCTATGGGACTGCAGGGGGGAAAGAGTGGGGGCCCCCCACCTCGTCCACCTCCCAGAGAGTCTCCGGTAGTCCCCAGGTTCCCCTGTGGCCGGGGATGGCAGGCGGGGGGGTGGGTAGGAAGGCGAATGGTCGAGACATGCTTTCCCTTAGCCGACCCCAGGGTCTGGTGATGGTCAGGGTTCAAAATAGGGGCTGTGTCCCTGCCTTGGAAAGGCTGGGAGCGGGGCTTCATTGCACAAAATACTGTGGGAGGGCCACACGCAGGGGGTGGGGCCCAGCCAGTCTGTATACAGAGATATTGCATTTAAAAAATGAAAACCTCATTTAAAATAATTAAAAAAACAACAATGAAATGAAACAAACAAACAAAAAAAAAGGCCCACACAACATGAGGCAGGTGGGGCAGGCAGGAAAGCAGGCAGGGGAAGCCTCAGACCCAAGGCATTGCCACATCTTGTCTGAGTCGAGATCCCCAGCCTGGGCTAGCTCCGGACCCCTGGCTGGCCGTGGGGTAGTGGTCCTGGGGGAGGATATGATGGGGAGGGGGGATAGGCCTGGCCTCAGTGTGGGAGGCTGGCACGGCCATGCTGTCCACCGGCAACTACCGAGACAGAGAGAGACAGACAGACAGACAAGACAGACAAACCAGGCGAAGGAGCGATGAGAGCTTTGTTAGCACCCAGCAGACAGGCCAATGGGTGGGCTGACAGGCCAATGGTCGGGTGTTCGGACAGGCAGCAGGGGACATGTGGGCAGGCGAGCATGAGTCAGGCAGGTAGCAGACAGCAAGCGAGGAGGATGCAGTTGCGGGCTGCCCTGTGAGGGGAGTAGCATCCCTTCAGCTGCTGCCTGCGGGGGCCTCGGTCTGTGGCTTAGAATTCAGCTTAGAACTCGGTGTCCACCACTCGGAAAGCTGGCCTGCCTGCAGGGGAAAGCAGAGCGGATGGCTGTTGGTGGGTAAGCAGGTAGGTGGCTGGGGCAGGGAAGAGGGCGAGGGCCACACCTACCTGAGTCAGGCATTGACGAAGACCGAAGGCTGGCCTCCTTTTGTAGCTGGATCTCCTTTAGTGCAAATATGGAAGTAGCTGTGGATGGAAGAGAGACAGTGGGAAATGACCCACAGGGCCATCCAGGATCACCTCCCACATGGCACCATTGGGGGAATTACAAAAAGTTGCCTTTTCTTTGAGAGGCTTGACTTTCACCTATCAAATAATCCTTACACACAAACCAGCTACAACTAGGAAATATGGACTACTACACGACACCAGGAAATCAGTAATTTTGTCAAGCATGATAATGGTATTGCAATTACCATCTGTTGAGTTTAGGTGATGAATGGTGTTTGAGATTTGATTTAGTTTATCCAGTGGGGGAGATACAGGAAGTGAGCCAATTTTTTCTTAAGATATGATAATGATATCGTTATTAAAAAATATTTTATTTTTATTTTTTTTTAAAGATTTTATTTATTTGACAGCGACACACAGCGAGAGAGGGAACACAAGCAGAGGGAGAAGCAGGCTCCCCGCGGAGCAGGGAGCCCGATGCGGGGCTCGAACCCAGGACCCCGGAAATCATGACCTGAGCCGAAGGCAGACACTTAACGAGTGAGCCACCCAGGCGCCCCTAAAAAATAACTTAGAGACACATGCTGAAATTTATAGATGAATGATATCTCTGGGAGCTGATTCAAAATAACCAGAGGGAGGGGCGCCTGGGTGGCTCAGTCGTTAAGCATCCGCCTTCGGCTCAGGTCATGATTCCACGATCCTGGGATGGAGGCCCACATTGGGCTCCCTGCTCCGTGGGGAGCCTGCTTCTCCCTCTCCCACTCCCCCTGCTCGTGTTCCCTCTCTCGCTGTGTCTCTCTCTGTCAGACAAATAGATAAAATCTTTTTATTTTATGTTACTTTATGTTAAGCAGACGCTTAACAAACTGAGCCACCCAGGCATCCCTCACATCCTAGTTTTTGACCTGTATGCCAGTTACATGGGTGTGTTTAGTTTGTGAAAATTCATTGTGTCGGTGTGCCTTGGTGGCTCAGATGGTTAAGCGTCTGCCTTCGGCTCTGGTCATGATCCCAGGGTCCGGGGATGGAGCCCCGCGTCTGGCTCCTGGCTCAGTGAGGAGCCTGCTTCTCCCCCTGCTCATGCTCTATCTCTGTGTCTCAAATGAATTAAATTAAAAAAAAAAAATTCGTTCTGCTGTATACTTACGATCTGTGCATTTCCTGTACATTTTATGAGAAAATGTTTACTAAAAAGAGAAAAACGATGTTGCATCTATTTTTATGTATGTTTGAAAATTCCCATGAAAGGTAAAAAGGAACCAAAAAGCAAATAATTTTTGTAACAAACACATCACATGTCTGAACAAGGGTGTGCCCCCTTAGAGGTGACACAGCCAGAGCCCTGCTCCCCACAGCCCCCCACCAACTTCACTCACTGTCAGGAAGTTTGTGGATCCGCTCCCCAAGACTGAGGAAGAATGGATGTTTCATGGCGTCCTCTGCGGAGATCCGATTGCGACCTTCAAACTGAGTGGGGGACAGGTCGGGGGAGGGCAGGGGCAGCGGCGGCAGGGGTGGTGTACTGAACACCTTCAACAAGTAGGCCTCTCTTCCTCCCCACCCCAGACCGTACCCCTGGAGCTCGTCCATTTCCCCACACCTAGAATCCCCTAACCCCCAAGGCTGGCCCAGGAAGGTGGACTCACCTGCAGCAGCTTGTTGAGGAGGTCAGCCCCGTCGCTGTCAAGTCTACAGCAAGGACAAGGGGACCTGCTTTAAATTGAGTTTGGGCACTCTGGCCCCTCATACCCACCCACCTACCCACCAGTCTCACCGGGGTGCATGGCTCAAAAGGGCCTCGGCTCGATACTTGGGGTAGTTGTATGTCTTGAACTCTTCGTTGGACAGAATGCCTGGCCACGTCTCCTCAGTTGGGGTTCCTGGCGGGGAAAAATTACCCTAAGCATCCACAGGGCATCTCTTAATGTCCCCATGGCTCCTAGGCCTCACCCCCCTCCTCACCCAAGATGCGGAAGATGAAGTGCAGCTGTTCCTCCACTGTGGAGCCTGGGAAGAGGGGCCGGCCTGTGGCCATCTCGTAGAAGATGCAGCCCACACCCCTAGGCAGGGAGGGCACAGTGAACAGGGAGGCAGCTGGCTTGGTGGCCATTGTGACCGAGCCACCCCCTTCACCACACGGCCCCTGCCGCACTTCCACCTGTCCTCACCACATGTCAATCTGGGTAGAGTAGTCCGTGGACCCAAGCAGAATGTCGGGGGGTCGGTACCACAGTGTCACCACCTCGTTGGAGTAGGTCTTTGTTGGGATTGACTTAGCTCGGGCCAGGCCTGATAGGTTGAGAGAAGGGGCAGCTGGAATTGAGGAGGCCCCCGGCAGTCTGGGGGACTGTACAGTTGGGACTGAGGGCGTCTTAAGCAAAGCCTGGAGAAGCTGAAGGGGACGGAGATTAGGTGGTCATGAGGAAGGGGGGAGTGTAGGAGGGTGAGGCTGGGGCATCACTGAGAAGAAGGGGGAGGCCAGGGTACCAAAGTCTGCCAGCTTCAGCTCTCCTCTCTCGTTGATGAGCAGGTTTTGGGGCTTGAGGTCTCGGTGTAGCACCTTCTGCCGGTGGCAGTAGGCCAGGCCACGGAGCAGCTGGAACAGGAACAGCTAGGAACCCGGAAGGGCAGGTGGAGGTCAAAGGGTATCCGGCAGCCTGACCCCCAGCAGACACTGCTTTCCCCCCGCCCCGCCCCCAAAGACACTGAGCCCAGAGCCTTAGTTCACGAAAGAGGACAGGGTCCCAATGCCCTCCAAGGGCTCCCGGCAAAAAAGCCAAACAGGAAAAGTCTGTTTCTGGGAGATTTGTGGGGTGGAGTGGGTGAGTGGGGGCCCCCGTGTGCCCCTGCTTCCTGCCCCACACCCACTTTCACGTTGTGCATGTTGATAACGTTCCCACAGTCATCCAGGTACTGCTTCAGGTCCTTGTCCTGAGGAGAGGAGAGGAAACAGAGGAGAAAAGAGGAGATAGTGGCCATCTGCCCACCTCCCCCCTTCAGGACCCACTGCCACTCAAGCTTACCAGGTACTCAAAGACAAGGGTGAGTGACTTCTCCGTGTGGATAATGTCATGTAGCGTGACGATGTTGGCATGTTTGAGGTCCTTGAGCAGGGACACTGCAGCAAGCATGGGAGTGAGACGGGGGAAGAGTCAGGACCCCACCCTCAGGCCAGAGGCAAGGACGAGGACCAGACAGGGATGAGCCCGGGGTTTCTTTCTTTCCCTGTGCACTTTGGGGTGGTGGCTCACAGCCACCGGCTCTATCCCACGCAATGCCAGGAAGGTGTGTCCCTAGGTTCCGGATGTGGAAACTAAGGCTCAGAGAAGAGTAGGGAGCAAGAACCTGGGACTGTTGGAGCTCCAGGCTTACGTGACATTAGATTTTGACAACCCGTTTTTGATTTCTGGAAAGGGGTTTTGTTTCAACCCTCGGTACAGAGGCCTGCAGCTTCGTGTGAAATTGAGTTTGTGCATATAATTTCTATGCAACTCAAATTCATTCGTGTGATAGTCTGCCTAGAAATCGTGTCAAGGACACTGGTGAGCACTTTCATGGGTTCTCTCAGAACCAAAGTAAGCACCCTGCTTTCTAATTCCTTGGTCTCTTCTCCAAACAGGAACAGATTCCTGGTTACCTTGATTATTATCTAGAGATTTGCACAATGGGCACTTTCATATGAAGCTCAGAGCGTCAGAAGGGAAGTCTCAAAACCCCCAGTCTCTCTTCTCACCATGGGGCCTGTATGTATGTGCCATGGGGAGAGGCCGGGAACCCTGGGACAGCCTTCCCGGGTGTTTATACCTTCCCGGATGGCGGTGCAGGGTGCCCCCTCTTCATGTTCCAGTCTGATCTCCTTGAGTGCCACAAGGTTGTCCGTGAGCTTGCTTTTGCCTTTGTAGACGGTGGCATAGGTACCCTGGGGTGTGAGGAAGAGTGAGAGGAAAGGAGCTGGAGGCTGCAGGAAGTTCTCACGGACTCCCATCCCCACCATAGGCCTCATGATGGTCTCTCACCTCACCCAGCTTGTCCAGCTTGATGTAGGTCTCCAGTTTCCCAAAGCCAATCTCAGACTGTGGGGTAAAGGGGCAGATTGAAGCAGGCTCCTGGGAGGGGACTGGGGAGGAGAGAAGTCGGGGGTGGGGGGGAGAGGACAGAAACAGAAGATGCTCACCAGGCTGACACGGCGGAGGCGGCGGCTGAGGGGCTTGTCGAAGATGGGGCTATTGAGGGTCAGCTTCTCAAGGTAGCCCTCAGGCAGCCGGATGTCGGCTGGCAGTGACAGGCGCTTGTTGATGTCCTAGCGGGCAAGACAGGTGGGAAACAGGACCATGAGCTCCACCTCCCTGGGTTTAACCCTCTTTTCTAGCCCCACCACCAGCCAGACGGGGGTTAAGCACCTCAGTGGAGATCTTGCGTGGGGGATGGTTGCGCATGCGCACCCTCACTGGCGACTGCACCTCATCCGAGGACGTGGCTGAAGCCTGGTCACTTTCCCCATCAGACCCCATCTTCAAGTCCTCATGTACAATCTCTGGTGGTGAGGACGGGGGAGGGGGGGAGGAGGGCAGACCAGTTGAGGTCTGGAGCCCCAGGAACCCCCTCCCCAGCATAACACATTCCTTCATCACACATGTCCACACAAGCAAGCCCCCAGGGCAGCCTGGAGTCCCTCAGGGAGAGGGTGGCAAGGCCCAGGGAAGTTCAGACAAGTCGGGATGGGCTGAATAGGGGCGGAGGGGCAATAGTCACCTAGTGGAGCACCCCATTCCAGGGGTGAGCTGAGACTGGTGCTGGCCCAGGGCCGGCAGGCACCCGTAGGCCTGAGGGGGCCATAGCAGAGTGCAGGAGAAGGGCAAAGGAAGGTTGGGGCAGCTATAGCAGGCAGGGCACTCTTCCTCCCTCGAGGCCTGGGCACAAAGCCAAGGAAAGGGACACAGATGGACAGATAGAGAGAGGGTGTTGAGAGGATGGCAGGGAAGGGGGAGAAAATGGAGAAAGGAAAACGGAAATAAAACAAGTCTAAAGGGAGCTCGGCTGGGAGGCAGCACCTTAGGGACCAGTCTCGGGGGCAGGAGTGGTCAGTGGACCTACCTGGTGCAGAGCTGAGGGGGCCCCGTCCAGAGCGAGGTTCCCCAGGAGCGGCACGAGTGGGTACCTCTCCAAGGTCACTGCCACCGCCACCCCCACTCTCATCCAGGCCTATCTGTTCAGGGGCACCATTGGTCTTGTCCACACCTCGGCCCCCTCGGAGTGTCATCGACAGCTGCCGCTTGATCTTCTTCATCCGATCCATGGCGACCTGAGCAGGGGGGAATAGAGGGAACGGGTCCCACGTTAACACTTGCCTGACCACCACGGGCCCCCTAAAGCCCAAGACAACTTAGCGAGGTACACTGACATGAACTTGTGTCAGTGCCCACCCAACCACTGTGGAGGCCTGAACCACTCGGGATTCCCGGAAACCTGGCATAGATGGGGACCCTTGTCAGTGCCTGCCCACCTAAAGCCAGCCCCTGGGGACCCTGCTCCTAAGTAGCGCACCTGGGAGTTGAGGCCTGGGTGGCTGGCTGAGGGCAAGGGCCCAACTGGTGGACTGTTGGCCTCTATGCGAGCAGCCTCACTGTGGGAACAAAGACCTCCACAGCAGGCATTCTCAGGTGCAGCAGTGGTGATGGGCCCAGCTGTGGGTGGGACAAGCGGCTCGCCCAGGACCGAGGGGCCACCAATACGACCCCGGGCTTGCCCAGAGAATGGCATACTCAGCCGGCACCAGCCCCACATCACCCCCAACTGCCAAGGCAGAATGCTCCCCACAACCACAAGGACCCGCCCGCCTTCCCCAGCAACCATTGTCACTACCCCACTGGTAAGTGGACTATCCCACTGGTCTACTCAAGTGAGGGGTGTACAGAGAGGGGAGTCCTACCCAGACCCAACCACTGGGTAGGTTCTGGAGGGGGGGATCTCAATAGACACCAGCTGTCCTGAGGGCCGCTAGAAAGTTTCAATCAGGTTGGGACCCTATGGGTCCCACTCAGACTTTTATAAGCCAGGCCTAGCCTCATTTCTCCTCTACTTGAGAGTGCACATCTCCCTTATCACCCCAAATAAATGTCCCAGTCCTCAAGGGTGGTCCACAAGGTCTCACCCTATTCACCCCTATTATCTCTCTGGCTTCACCTCCCCCTCAACCATTGCTAGCTGTTTTGCAACCACACCCAGCAGTCCCACCTTAGGGCCTTTGCACTGGCTGTTCCTGGTACGTGAAACACCCTTCCCCCAGATTTCAAAATAGCTCACTCCCTCACCCCCTTCGGACCCTTGCTCAAATACCACCTTTTTCATGGATAACCCTCCACAAATAACCCTATTTAAAATCTCAACCACACTGAGCTCCCCCTCACTTTGCCAAATTATCCCCCCAGCACTTATCACCTCCTCAGAAATGATACCAACTACTTATTGGTTTCTATATTCTTAACTGTCTGTCTCCTCACCGCCATAACTAGAAGATCAGCTCCGCCAGGGTAGATTTCTGTCTGTTTAGGTCACGGCTATATCCTGAGGACCTGGAACAGTGACTGACACAGAGTAGACGCTCAAAAAGTGCTTACGGCAGAAATTAATGAATCAGGGGGCTGAGGGCCTAAGACCAATCTCTACCAGGAGGGGCAGGGTAAGTTTGCTACCCGTGAACAACTCCAGAAAACGTGGCCCAGGGACACTAGCATCGGCAGGAAGATGACCTAGATGGGGCTGCTGGAGGGAACAGGGCCACCAAAAGGCTTAGGCTGGCCTTCTTCTGCTTCCTCCTGGGCTCCAGGCCAGCAAGGAGGGGGAAAGACCTGGCCTAGGAACCATCTGGACTCACAGCAGGGCCTAAGATGGCCCTGGGCCCAAGGGAAGTGGAGCTAGATAGGAGGTGGGAGGATGAGGCTGGGGCTGGATTCGAGGAGAGAAGTGGGTCATCTGTTACCTTGAAATCAGGTGCTTACCGCACTGGTCCTTACACCCTGCTTCCGCTTGCCTGGCCTCACCACCCCCAGCAGGAGCAGAGGGGCCAGCCTAGCGGAAAGACCCCAGTAAAGAGGATGAGGTCCATTCAGAGAACCCAGGATAACAAAAAAATTCTGACCCAGTAGGCCGTACACTGGACCTGAAGCTGAAGAAGGAGAAGCATGGCCAGCCCCAAAGGCAGTCTTGCATCCATGGTACGAATACCCAGCCGGCTTTGCCTGTTGTGGCAGGGAATGGGGCATCTGGGGGGACAGTAAGTAGGGCTGGATGGAAGATGAGGAGGGAGCCAGAAGGAGCCAGGGTCCATGACCTCTAACTGGAAACTCCAAGGGCTGGACATGTTCCAGAGTTCAGTTTTTTGGGGATTTTAGGAAGACAGGATACAACATCTGTGTATCACGCAACATTCCCAGCAGGGGTGCCCTGGGCAGACCTTTGTGAACAGAGACACTTGAACATTAATATACAGTAAAACTTTTAAATATTATTATTTCCATTTTCTGAGCTTTTTAGATTTCAGTATAGTGAAGGAAGGAACAAGAAACTGGATACACAACTCCACTCAAAAAAAAAAAAAGGGGGGCATTTGTCCTTCCTGACCCCTGACGACATACACCCTTCCTCAGAATACTCTCACACCCAAGGGCACTCATCACCTCACACCACACTGTCCACTGAGGACACAGTCACCACACAACTCCCACCAAGAACACACCATCCCCATCCCTTCCAGACCCCCATAAGCACACACAGGCCCCTCAAGAAGGCCTCTCTGCATTTTAACTATCAGCACCTGAAATTTCCCATTTCTAACCCCCATCAGCATAGGAAGCCCCAGCAGAGCAGAGCACTCTGTTTGCATAGGCTCAGGCCCCTCTAAGTTAACGCTCAGCGCCACATTCTTGGGCGTCTCCTAGGCCCAGCTGCCTGTTAGCTTCTCCAAAGCACTCACCCCCATTAACACACTGTTCCCCATGCCTAATTCTGACCCCTATTAACATGCACTTGGGACCCTCTACAGCTGACCCAAATTAGCACTCACTGGACCTTCACACTGCCCTGAATCTCATTAACACAAAGTGAAACTTGCCAATCCCTGACCTGACTGTTTTTGCCCACACTCAGACCCCTCGACAGCTATAACCATCATTAAACCCATATTCTGGTCCTCTCACTACCCTGTCCCCACCACCTCCCATCAGCACAAGCTGGACCTTCACTTCACCCTGACCTCTATTAGCACACACTGGGCCTCTTACAGTGCCTCCCCATTAGCACACCCTGAACCCTTACTCAGCCCCATTCCCCAGGGGCACACAAACACAGTGTTCTATAATGGCCTGACCCTCATTAGCGCACACAGGTCTCCATTCAGCCTGGAGCCCCATGAGCGAGCACACACTTCAGCCCTCCATGGTTCTAAATCCACTTTATCACACCTAGACCTTCACATATTCCTGTCCTTTATTTCTCTTTGCTTCAACTCCTCCACACCTATAATGCCTGTTGGTTCACATTTGAATCCCTTCACAACCCCGATCCTCCTTACTGCACCCCCTGGAACCTCAACACACCCCAGTCCCCCGTGGACACAAGCATACACTGTCTTCACAATATTCTGACACTAGCATTTTCCAGACCCCATACTGCTCTGACTCTTCCCCCAATGGCACACATTTACGCACCTCCAAGGCTCTAAACCCATATCCACGGTCACTAGAACTTCACATATAACTGTCCCTTATCGCATCCTGGAGTCTCACGTCCCCTGTCCTCATGGACACACACACTGGCCTCACACCATCTTGATCCTTAATATACTGAATCTCTTACAGTGCTAAGACATTTCCCTCACCACTGTGCCCTCCCACCGCACATATATTCCTAACTTCTGGTACCCAGCAGCACAGGCTCAGGTCTTCCACCACTCTGTCCCCATTAGCATATCCTGGGCCTCACACTACCCAGACCTTTATTAACACACGCACGTACCCTCTACAGCTATGACCCCCATTAGCACACTCTCAACATTCGAGTTCTTCCACTACCCTGACCTCCATGGGCACTCTCTGGACCCCTGCACGCTGCAGTCCCTCATGGGCAGATACACAGTATTAACACCATCCTGACGCTCATTACCACACACACAGGGCTTCAGAGCCCTGATCCTATTAGCATACCTTCTGCTATCTCTACCACCTTATCCCCCATTAACACACACGGGGTCTCTGCACACCTTTAACCCCGTTTGCATACCTCAGCATTCCCCTGACATGCTCCCCCCTATCACACACCGTCGGGGCCCTTCACTGCCCCCCCCCCATTAGCACACGCTGGGCCTCAAGCCCTACACAGCTGTAAGACTTATTATCACATGCTCCGACCCCTCCACAGCTCAGGCCATTAGCGAACCTCGAGCCTTGCACCACCCACTTCCACATCCTCTGGTCCTTTGATCACCCTGCTTCCCATTAGCACCCACAGGACTGCCCATCCCCAGTTCCAAGACCGGGCCCAGGGCGGGGCCAAGGTCAGGGAGGCCCCGAATGACCCCCCGCCCCGGTGCACTCTGGGAAACTCGCTGGGGGAGGGGGCACATGCCAGCGGTGCAGCCCAGACCCCTGGGCACCGCCCGGGGTCTGGGTTGGTTCTGCAAGAGGAAGGGCAGCCCCCACCCCACGTCTCGGGGACGCGCTCACCGGCGGGGGCGCGCGAGCAACCTCAGCGCCGCGGGGCCGGCGCGGCGGCGCCTGGGGCGGCGGCCCGGGCTGAGGCCGCGCGACCTCCTTCTCCTCCTGTTCGCCGCAGGCGCCCGTCCCAGTAGTCTTCGGCCATGGCTGCTGGGCCCGGGCCGCCGCCGGCTGAGGAGGAGGAGGCGGCGGCGGCGGCGGCGGTTGAGGCGGAGGCGGCGTCCCGCTCAGCCGGCCATGAGCTTGGCCGCTGCGGGCGATGCCCCCGGGCTCGCTGGCGCCCGCTCGAATCCGAGAGCTCACGGCGGCTCGCGGCTCAGAGCCGACTGCTTGCGGAGACGCGGCGGATCCCAGGGCCGAACACCCAACGGCCCAACCGCCGCGCGCGCCGCGCTCCGCGCATGCGCACGCACGCGCCGAAAAGGCTGAAGTGGGAAGGAGGGGACTCACCTCGGACTGCATGTACCAAAAGACCCGTCCGCAGCGGGAGGGGGCGCGGCCATTGCGCGCCCACCGGGGAATGTGGCGCCAGCCCTGGAACGGCGCCAGGGGGAAATGTAGAGGTTGCTTAGTACTCAGTTCCGAGCTTGTTAGAAGTTTGCTAGCGCCGAAGTGGGCAGCAGCCAGTAACCAGGGCGCCGGTCACCACTCGGTCCCCCTACTTGGTCTCACTTGGTACATCCCCATGGTGGCAAACGGGACTTTTGCAAGGAGGAAAAAGACAGATGAGGCAGTCAGTCTGAGTCCCTTGAGGTGCCTCAGAAGGCAGGAAATTTTAAAGGTTCGCGAGAGGATGACTTTTCTAGGAGAGGCGGCCTGGAGAATCACTGGCCTTTACCCCCTTAGGCCAGAGTCTAGCCCCGCCCAGCTCCCCCCCCCCACCTCCGCTAGCTCATTCCCACTGTGAACGTGTGCGGCCCCGCCCTTTGAGGTTGTCGCCCAGCCAATCGGATTTGCCCCCTGGGGCGAGGCAGAGCAAGAATGAAGGGCGTTGCTGAGCTGAAGAGGCGTGATTTCACTGCCCCGTACCACGCCTCTGCCAGACTTTCATTGGCTTTCGGCGCCAGGGGCGGGCACTTCTTTTTGTTCTGAGCGCCTCTCTCACTATAGGCCGAATATTCCGCAAGGTTATTGGTCAAAAGAGCGTTCAATCGTCTTTCGTCCCGCCTCTAACCCCTCCCATTCCCCCCGCCCCGCAGCAAGACTCACGGGGTGGAGCCTAGGCTGAGAAAAGAAAGGCGGACCTTTAGAGGGGAGGGTGCGTTACTGCGCATGCTTGGGACTTTAGGACGGAGGGAGTCCTCGTTGCCGCCTCACGCGAGCATTTGCGTATGCACCCTGAATTGGGTTTTCTCGCCTGCCGTCTCTCAGCTGCCTCTTGCCTGCCAGAGCCCCGCCGTGGTTTTCCCCAGGTCTGCGGTTTTCTGTTGTATCTATTGCGCGCCTTTTGTGTGTCAAGCACTGCCAGCACACCTAAGCCCTCACTCCTCTGTGCCTGGAAAACTCTCTACACGATATCAACAAGCCCAGCTCAAATGGCGGCAGCTTTTGGCAGGCCTTCTGGGACATCTTTACACTGCACCCCAGTCCAAAGCCAGCTTCCCCGCCTCTTCTGGGCTTCCTTTTATGGCAGCCTTGATCACACCGGTTAGAGTTTTCAGTAAGGTTCATACTAGCGAGGATTACCAGAGCATGATGGGAGTGGAAATACTTGACGAAGACAGAAAGTCCACCGCGGGCTAGACCATCAGGTCCATCACTTCCCTGACCTCATTCTCATTTCCTACCCTTCTTCCTCTCACTCCACTCCAGACGTATTTGTTCCCTTCAAGCTGTTTCTGAATAAAGCAGGCACAATCCAGCCTCAGGGACTTTGCACTTGCTGTTCCCTTGGCCAGGAATATTCTTCTAGATACCCACATGCTTCATCCCTTCACTTCTTCCAAGTCCTTGCTTCAATGTCACCTTCATGAAGCCTTCCCTGAATGCCCTATTTAAAAGTGCCTACCTGCACCCCCATCACTGGAGACCCCCAGACCTGGCCCTACAGACCTTTTGAATGACACCGGTCAACTTCTTAAAATTTACTTGTGTTTTTCTATTCTGGGTCTCACCCTGGCAGAACATAACCCCCCCCCCAACACGCCCACAGGCCTCAAGGCAGGGATTTTTTTTTTTTTTTTTTGATCCATTACTGTCTCCAATGCCTAGAATAGTGCCTGGTCCATAGTAAGCCCTCAGCAAATGTTATGGCAAATGTTTGATGGCAAATAGCTCTGGGTCAAGAAAAGACAACCGTGTACACCCTTTTCTTTGTGCCTGCCTGCCCGGTACAGGGGGCTCAGTGAAGTGACCCGAAGAACTCTGGTCTTCTATCTTGTTGGTGTTACAATGGTAGCCAAACAGGACAGAAAATGGCACATGTGGGAGAACTAAGACACAACCAGGATTCCAGGGTTCCTGCTGAAGCTGTTCTTGATAAAGAAGTGTTTCAGGTACGAATGAGGTAGGAAGGTGATCCAGGAGCTGGGGTGGTGAACAAAGGGACAAAAGTGTCTGGAGAATCAAGAGCTGTAATGGGGGAGATAGTGGACAAGGAGCTGGGATAGTAGAGAAAGGGGGCAGAAAAAGTTTGTGTTCGGGGCGCCTGGGTGACTCAGTCATTAAGCGTCTGCCTTCGGCTCAGGTCATGATCCCAGGGTCCTGGGATCGAGCCCAGCAGCATTGGGCTCCCTGCTCAGCGGGAAGCCTGCTTCTCCCTCTCCCACTCCCCCTGCTTGTGTTCCTTCTCTTGCTGTGTCTCTGTCAAATAAGTAAATAAAATCTTAAAAAAAAAAAAAAGTTTGGGTCTTAAGATGGTAGCAACAGTGGACAAAGGTGTGGAGTGTTTGGGGGGTACTCTTGAGCAGCAATGGGAAAGTATCTCTGGAGGGAAAACCTCTCCACTTGACCTAAGCAGTTAGCATCACCACTAAGTAGATGCCAGAGGTAAAGCACTTCAGTCCCCAATGTCCTGGAGGGGAATAAAAAGGAAGTATGGAAGGATGAGATCACCGAAGCAGAGTAGGCCAAGGAAAAAAATAATCACGAGGGGGAAGTGGACAAGGGCACACACTGTGCCTGGGGTCTGGAGCTGGCTCAGGAGGCAGCAGATGTGGGGGCAGGCTATGATGAGTGTCAGGCCGGGTTCAGGAATAGCTTGTGCTATTCCCAGTACCCAGGTTTGAATGAAGGAAGGAGGGGTCTGTTTCCAAGTGGGAGGAAGAAGTTGGGCTTCTGGCTGGGTGAGGGAAGAGATATGAGTGGCATCCCCAGGCATCAGGTGGCCAGTCTGATTGGTGCTTTCAACTGTCTGGAGTGTTCCGTCAAGACCAAGGACAAGCATAGGCAGCCCTGCAGTCCTGTTGGGGGCCGGGGCGGGGGGTGCCGTGCTGAGCCTGCTCTAACTAATCAACAACCCACAGCTGTCTCTCTTCTCAAAGGTAGGCCGCCTCGGGACAAGCAGACCAGGCCTGAGGGGGAGCAGGGTGGAGTGGGAAAGGGGCTTTTCCTCCACAGATGTTCTTAGCCAAATATTTTCATTAAAAACTGCGAAGTCTACATAGTTACGGACATTCCTCAGTCCAACAGAGTTGTTTAGGCCCCCCCTGCAGCTGGGAAGTTGAACAAGGGCACCACAGGAACCACTGATGATAAAGACTTGTCCAGGGGCTCAGTGCTTTAAGCCAGATAGGAAGGCATCTGTCCCCCCACCGGCCAGGACATAAGCCATGCTGACCAAGCCCTGGCTGACGGGTCGCAGTTAGCTTTCTTCTTCACAGGAGGAACAAGGTGAGAGAGGTTACAAGACTTACTCAAACACGACTACTACCTCTCAAACTCAACACGGCAGGGAGTTAGGAGCTGGAGCCGGACAAGGTGGAATTTGAATCCAGCTCAAATACAGTCACACAGACCCAGGTACCTGTGCCCTGTGCCTCCATCTCTTCCCAAGCGGGGAGGGTGGGAGGAAGAAGTGGCAATTCCCACCTTTTCTCTGCCCAGGCAACTGGCACAGCTAGGGTGGGGCTGAACCCTCTGGGCTACCACCTGAACCGACAGCTCCGGAAGTCCCTCCCTTCCCTAGAAGCACCAGGGCATGCCACATCTGGGTTAATAATTCTTTATTAGGATCCAGGTTCCAAACAAGGTAGAAAGCAGCGGCAAGAGGGGTGCGGGGCGGGGGGTGAGGAGGGAACACCAGGCATGGCTAGCTGGGCCACTGCCAGAGGCCCGGAGGGAGCCCTGGGCTGGAGGGGGGCGGGGCTGGGGCCAGCCTACTGCGTGTGGACGGGGGTCAGCGGATGGTGTATCGTACATAGGGGACCTCAACGTCCTCGCCACTCTCGTCGTTGCAGCACAGCTCAAGCACCAGCGCCCGCACGTGGCGGCCCAGCTTTCGCTTCGACACACGGCTCACGATCTCAGTCATCCTGGGGGGCGGGGGAGCAGAGGCTCAGGGAGGCAGGGGCAGAGGTGAAGGGCAGTGAACGGAGGTGGAAGGGCTGCAAGTGGAGGCCCTCCGCC